GAAACAAATGTGACATTGATCAATGCTCTCCTGGAGACACACCTATAATTGTGTGTGTGTGTGTGTGTGTTGGGGGGGGGGGGGGGCACACCTGTTTTCAACATTGATAATAATAAGAAATGTTTCTTGAGCAGCAAATCAGCATATGAGAATGATTTCTGAAGGATCATGTGACACTGAAGACTGGAGTAATTACCGCGACAAAAATATATTTCAAAATGTAATTCAAATTGAAAACTTAATTTTGAATATGAAAAAGTTATTTTAAATTGCAATAATAATTCACAATGTTACTGTTTTACTGTATTTTGATTTAATAAATTCAGCCTTGGTGAGCATAAGAGACTTCTTTTCAAAACATTTTAAAAATCTTACCGACCCAAAACTTTTTTTTTATATGAATAAACATGATCTCAATTAAGAACATTTAAATGTGAACAAACAAGATTATACTAATTACTAATAAACAGGTAGCAACATTTAACTAGATATTTCCTTAGGCCTTAAATGACTTGAATCAGTGACTTACAAGTTAACAAATCAGTATACAAATCCCATCGTCTGCCTGGGAATTCACTCAGAAATGATGTTATATTAAACATCTACACCTGACACTAATATGAAGCCGTTTGTTTGATTTGTAGGCTTTTCTGTGTCAGAAGAATAGTACCGTAGCCTCGCTTATACTGATGAAAAGTAAAGGGGGGGGCATTATGGGGACAAAATGAGAGGACAAAAAAAGTCTGAAATCTTTGTCCTTGTGGGGACATTTTTTGGTCCCCATGGGGAAAACAGCTAATAAATCATACTAAGTGATATTTTTGAAAATGTAAAAATGCTGAAAATTGTCTGTGTTGGATAGGTTTAGGCCTTTAGGGCTAGGGTTAGTGTGGGGAGATAGAATATACAGTTTGTACAGTATAAAAATCATTATGTCTACGGAGAGTCCCCATAAAACATGAAAAAATTATGTTCAAAAATAATGTTAAAAATGACTAAAACTAAAACTTTTAACTAAAATAAAACTGAAGTGTGTGTGCTTTACTTGAAATGTCAACTAGCCTCCTATTTGTGCCACAAATAAACGATAACCTCTTAAAACCTGCGCAGACACAAACAAATACACATGTAATACACATGGTGTAAAATGGGAGATTGTGTCTGTGTTTGTGTACTTGCATAAAAATAATTCCTGTCATAAAAGCCAACCATTTTTAGAGGGTAAAGACTCCATCTCTTTTTTGAGGGTTAGGAAAATTCATGTGGTCAATATTAAAAATCCCTGCTGGCCCAGAGGAGCTGTATGATTCTCTTGTGGATTGATTGAAGCAGCCACACTTTGTAACAGCTCATTACTTTAAAGCAGCCCTCAGGCATTACAATGGTGACATTTCCTTTGAAAAATAGCTTGTAGCTACTAATAAAAGATATCTACATCTCAGTATCTTTTAAACATACACTACCTTTTAAAAGTTTGGGATCAGTTTTTTAAAGAAATGAACACTTTTATTCCAAAAGGATGCATTTAATTGATCAAAAGTTACAGTAAAGAGATTTATAATGTTGCAAAAGATTTCTATTTGAAAATAAAAAATCCCGGGGAAAAAAATGTATCATGGTTTCCACAAAAATATTAAGCAGCACACCTGTTTTCAACATTGATAATAATAAGAAATGTTTCTTGAGCAGCAAATCAGCATATGAGAATGATTTCTGAAGGATCATGTGACACTGAAGACTGGAGTAATTACCGCGACAAAAATATATTTCAAAATGTAATTCAAATTGAAAACTTAATTTTGAATATGAAAAAGTTAGTGAGCATAAGAGACTTCTTTTCAAAACATTTTAAAAATCTTACCGACCCAAAACTTTTTTTTTATATGAATAAACATGATCTCAATTAAGAACATTTAAATGTGAACAAACAAGATTATACTAATTACTAATAAACAGGTAGCAACATTTAACTAGATATTTCCTTAGGCCTTAAATGACTTGAATCAGTGACTTACAAGTTAACAAATCAGTATACAAATCCCATCGTCCGCCTGGGAATTCACTCAGAAATGATGTTATATTAAACATCTACACCTGACACTAATATGAAGCCGTTTGTTTGATTTGTAGGCTTTTCTGTGTCAGAAGAATAGTACCGTAGCCTCGCTTATACTGATGAAAAGCAGGAAAGTGAGAAAAAGTGAACTCGTGTGGGCTTATTGCCATTGGGATTGTGGTGGAATTGATTTAAGGCCTTTTGGCTGGATTCCCCACTCACTCTGCTAAAACACATCACATCAACTCAGTTGCCTCCATTTATTTGATCCAGAGAAGCATGTGAAATCAAATGATCGGAAGCTGTGAAGTGTTAGAAGACCAGTGTTTGGTTGTGTCATCTTATGTTGACTGTGTCAATGCATCATGAGCATGTTCACATGCATGCATGGCTATCGACGCGGTTGGAGGAATCTGGAACATTGTTCTAACCCTTATAGTGTGTTCCGGCCTTCCGGGTCAATTTGACCCACAGCACGTTTTTGAGTTGTCGGAAAATTGTGTGACTATTTCTTATAGGTGTCATGCCTGCAAATTTTCAATACTCTGAGGTTTTGTGGAATGTGCATACAAAATTTCTATTGCGATTGTGATGTTATTTCTGTATGTTGTGATGTTGATCCGCAAATTTTAAAGACACCCAAAATTTGCTGGGAATCGAACCCTTGATCTTGGCATTGCTAGCACCAAGCTCTTAAGCTTCAGGAAAGCACACATTAATAATATTTATCTTTTTACTTTTTATTTTATTTATTTTTTATAAAAAAAGTAGCCTATTTAACATACTGTTTATATTATTAATTTTGGGAAAAACAAATGTTTAAAAACGGTTGTTAAATACAGTTTTATAAAGAATATGTTCTCATGTTTACATTTTCTTGTAATGTGTGAGATTTATTAACGTGCAAGGTTCACTGTTTTACTTTTTGTTGTTGATGTTTTTCATATTGTGATTTTTGTTGAATTGTATTGAATTCAATTTGGATCAATTTGACTCGTAACATAACTATTTTTGGACCCAGAATTTGAACATAAAAGTGCTTATAAAATTATCCTATTGTGCTCTACATTAAAAATAAATGAGTTTGAAACCACATGATGATGCAGTGTCCTGTGGAAAGAGGAGAGAATGTGAGGGAGAAACAAGTGGGAATAGAGAGAACATTGAACATAATAAAGAGGAAAAGCGGAGGGTGGAGGGGAAAGTGTGCGGTATAGCAAGAGGAGTGTTCCCTGGAGCTAAATGCAAACACACTTACAAACAGAACTGTAATTAGTGCTTGAAGTGGGAAAAATAAAGCCGGTACTCACCAAAGGGGGCGGGGCTTTGTTGGGGGGGGGATTGGTTGTTTGGCTCCCTCAGTAGTAGTTTTGGTTTGAAAATTGGGGTGTTGAAGTGTGTGAACTGTTTAACATATGCTCCATCAAGGTATATTTGTTTGTTTGTTTTTTGCAAAATGATCTTTTACAAAATAGTCCAAGGATGCAAATTGGTTGATGACATAACTGTAAGATTATTTCTGTTATCCTTCATTATGTTGCCACTCGTATTCAATTCAAAGTCAAGAGCATTTTGATTTCCATAATTTGATCTATTTTCTGATACAGAATAATGAAGGACTGGATATTTTTTCTGATTGGATTGTGAAATGTGTCTTTTTTGACAGGTGGTTGGAGGGGAGGAAAGTTGTTTCAGAGACAGAAAAACTGTAAGATTCTTAAAGGGATAGTGATGTATTCATCAAAAAGATGTATTTATTTATTATAAATATATCTTCAGTGTGTGTGTGTGTGTGTGTGTGCGTGCGTGCGTGCGTACATGAAATGCAGTTTTCATTTGATTGATAACTTCTAAAAACGATCTCAGTATAACGTTCCTAGATGTTTTTTTGTTTTCTCAGCACATTTTCAGCATGCTCATGTCACTCATGTATTTCTGTGCTATATGTGATCATTAATACAGCACACATTGAAAATGTTGACAGTCGCCTGAGAGAATCAGTCATAAATGATTACAGTGATTCAGATTCTGCTTGATCATGACTGACTGACTGATATGAATCAATAGCTGAGACACGCTTCTGTAGCTTCACCTTACCTTCGTTACAGTGCTATTAAAATATCTAAATTGAGATAGATGATCATAATTTAGAGATTAATACAGTAAGTCATGCGCTCTGATTGACTTATTTTTAATGCCAGAATAATGTGTTTAAAGCAGAAGTCTATGAGAGACATATGTTCAAGATATTTTAAAGATTCATTCTTTCAAATCAGTCATGCAATTTCTATTTCAAAACTAGTGTTATAATTGTCCTCAAAATCGCAGCCATCAGCAGCTATCAGTTAGCGTGTATTCTTATTAAGTATTAACAAAAGATAAAATAAACAGTACAGAAGTTTAAATTCAAAGGCCTTTAAATTCAATCAACCCTTTAGACAGAAGAAACATCTTGAAAAAAACAACACATTTATACCTAAATATCACTTTAAATTTCTCACAGAGTCACAGTTCATTGTCTCAGACAGAAAGATATTATGATGAATTGTGAAATTTAAACGGTTATACAAATGCCTCTGCCTTTTTATGGCGATTGCATGAAAGACTGAACGATTCACAGGCAAAAGCCTGTGAATCACACAAAAATCACATCCTCATCTTAAAGATTGCAAAAACTTTCTGCATTCCCTTGACCATGAAAGACAACTCAGTTATTAAAACAAGGTGAAGTCGTCAATCCTCAACATCATTATCCAGCTTTAAACAGGTAAAAATGCTCAAACCACCTCTCATTCAATGAAACATGCAACAATTATTTGGTTCTCTTGAAACAAGACAAGAGACACTGTGACCAGACTCTTCGTTCTGGATTCCCAAGGCGGATACGAGGGATCGGGAGCAGCAGAGAGACATGACATGAAGGAGAGAAAGGATATGGTCCTACCTGAACTCACATCCCGTGGAGCAGAAAGTGTGGATGAAGTGTTTCTTGATGCATGCTGCAGAGCGCCTGACACTGAGGCTGTGGATCCTGCTGCACTCAGAGCTCACTCGTACTGCATTGCTTCTTAAAACAGACTGAGAGAGAGAGAGAGAGAGAGAGAGAGAGAGAGAGAGAGAGAGAGAGAGAGAGAGAGAGAGAGAGAGAGAGAGAGTGTGTGTAAGAGCATGAGTATTTGGAAATGGAAGTGAGGGACTCCCACTCCACATACTGTACACTCACAGACAACATTTTCTGGTTGTGACCAACGTTTGAGCATATCTATCTGACTGTCTTGACGTCTGTCTGTCTATCCATCATTCTATCTGTCTATCCATCCGTCTCTATGTATGTATGTATGTATGTATGTATGTATCTATGTATGTATGTATGTCTGTATGTATGTCTCTGTATCTATCTATCTATCTATCTATCTATCTATCTATCTATCTATCTATCTATCTATCTATCTATCTATCTATCTATCTATCTGTCTGTCTGTCTGTCTGTCTGTCTGTCTGTCTGTCTGTCTGTCCGTCCGTCCGTCCGTCCGTCCGTCCGTCCGTCCGTCCGTCCGTCTACAGTATTTATCCATCTGTATGTCTGTCTGTCTGTATGTCTTTCTACAGTATTTATCCATCTGTCCGCTTGTTTGTCTACAGCATTTATCCATCTGTCTGTCTGTCTGTCTACAGCATTTATCCATCTGTCTGACTGTCTGTCTGCTGTCTGACTGTCTGTCTGTCTACAGAATTTATCCATATGTCTGTCTGTCTACTCTACAGTATTTATCTAGCTGTCTGTCTGTCTACAGTGTCCATCCGTCTGTCTGTCTGTCTACAGCATTTATCCATCTGTCTGACTGTCTGTCTGCTGTCTGTCTGTCTACAGAATTTATCCATATGTCTGTCTGTCTACTCTACAGTATTTATCTACATGTCTGTCTGTCTACAGTATCCATCCGTCTGTCTATCTGTCTACAGCATTTATCCATCTGTCTGTCTGTCTGTCTGTCAACAGTATTTATCCATCTGTCCGTCTGTCTGTAGATCTTTCTTTCTTTCTTTCTTTCTTTCTTTCTTTCTTTCTTTCTTTCTTTCTTTCTTTCTTTCTTTCTTTCTTTCTTTCTTTCTTTCTTTCTTTCTTTCCTTCTTTGTCTGTCCGCCCATCCAAGGTAAAGTTTAGTGCAAAATATTAATATATATGCAAATATATAAGTAGTTTGTAAAAGATGTCTGCCTAGCACTTGTTTACATATAAACACGTAGTATACAGGATAAGGAACATAAAAAGGAAGTGCAGTGGAATGCAAAAATGCATTTGTAATGCAGTTCAGATGTTATGGGAAGAAGGAGGCGGGAACCGGCGAACGTTCAACAATTTTTAATAACACGAGACCGCTGTTGACGAGACCGGTGCATCGCGCAGGTGTCACTCATTAGTAATCACGCCACCGGCCTCGCGCCGCGCCGTCCTCCCACGGCCCTCGACCTTGTCCTCGTCCTGCTCGCCACAGCATTCTTTGTGAATTGCCCCTAACGAGTATCATGTTTTTCCTGATAAATTATCTAAACGTCATTTAAACAAAAAATTAGGCTACTTGAAAATAGGGCTGCAAGATATTGAAGAAAAGTGCGATATGCGATAACTCATTAAATAATGCGATATGCGATACGATAATGCTTAAAGTGTGTAAAATAAACTTAAATTATCTTTAAAAATATATTTTAAATGAGATAACCTGCAATGTTTTACTGTAGCATAAGAAGTGTTATTTTAACATAAGTGTAAACCACAGGGTTTAGGGTGTCAGTTAGACATTAGGTTTATTTAACAACATAAACTGAATAATCAAATGTAAAAATAAAACACTGCTTAGTTTTCACTGTATGAATTAAATATATAGCCTACTGATTCTTAATAAAGCTACAAAAGTTATTCAGCCAAGAGCAGTGAGTGATTTTCTCTTTGTCTTTTATTCACGACCCCAGTTATTGCAAGCTGTTGCGATATGCATATCCCAATATACATTTGCGATATTTCGATAATTTCGATAAATTGTGCAGCCAAAAGCAATGTTGCTTGATTTCATAGATTTCTTTCCCTTATTTATACTTAAGACATATTGAAGTGACATTCTAGGAGATATTTCTCAATACTTAGGTCACTTTTTTCCAAATCTCTTCACACAGTGAGCAAACATCAGTCTATGTGAGCTAAACAATGGATTATTAGGTGTTCAAGCACGAAGTGCTGAAAACCTATTGTATTTGTACTGATTTTTATTATTAGGTGTTCAAGCACGAAGTGCTGAAAACCTATTGTAATCGTCCTGATTTTTATTATTATTTTTCTCCTGTAAAACGCATCGTGCAGCCCAAACCGTAAGGGCTGGAGCCTTGAAACTTTGCCAGATGGTAGTACAAAAATCGAGGAGAGGTTATCAAAGTATGAGCCCGATTGGCCCATAGGTGGCGCTATAGCAAGCAAAAGTAGGAAATCGTGCATAACTCCTAGACCATTTATCCCAGAATCAAGTGTCTTATATCCCTGTAATCCTTGGCTCAAGACGGACAAAACGTATATCTCCGATTTTATTTGCGTCTGGAAAAATTTTCCGCCATCTTGGATTTTGTCCAAAACCTACTTTTGCGAACTAGTCCCTGGTTTTTCACCCGATTGGAACCAAACCAGTGTAGAAATGTTCTCTGGAGTCTGAATATCAATAATTATCGAAAAAACGTTGAATTTTCGATTCACGGTTGCTAAGGGGCGTCAAAACGTTCGCAGGAGGCGGAGCTAATTTTACTAAAATGGGTATAACTCGTGAACAAAATAAAATAATTTCACCAAACTCGGTACACGTATGTATGAGCTTTATTTGAGGTCACAGTAAAAAAAATCGCGACGATCGAACACTAGGTGGCGCTATAACATGAAAAAAACATATAAAGGACTGACAGTTAGTCCGATTGACTTGAAAATTGGTATACAGTGTCTTGGTCCAAGGCACCATGTATGTGTATGAGGACATTGGCATATCTCAAAAAACATGGCCGCCATCGACAAATGAATTTTGAGCCCCTATGAGACGAGGTTAACGGAGGCCAATCAGAACGAAACTCGATGGGCATGTTCGACTCATGGCCTAAGAGGTCTGTAAGAGTTTTGAAAGAAATCGGCCACTAGTTGGCGCTAACGAGTTTTACGGCTCTTTAATCACGTGGTGTTGCACATATCCCCACAAAATGCATATCATATGATAGACCTCCTCATGGTGAACAACTTTGCCTCTAGAACCATTGCTGTCAATCAAATCGTTCATTAAATATTCACGAATATGTTAAAAACCTACTTTTGCGAACTAGTCCCTGGTTTTTTGCCCGATCAAAACCAGACCAGTCTAGGACAATTCTCTGGACTCTATAGATCAATAATTATCAAAAAAAAGTTGAACTTTGCCCTTTGGTTCACTGTAACAGGGTCATTTATAAAAGGGGTGTGTCAAAATACACTCAAAAGCCTATAAATCATAAATGAAAACTCAGAACTTGACAAAAATTGATGAGCATATGTGTCATACCATGGTGAGGAAGCATTCAAAGTTTCATGGAGATCGGACCATAGGTGGCGCTATAACTGTTAAAAAGCTTTAAAACCATACATTTCCTATGGTAAATTGCCTGTATTGGCTGTAAATTGTCTTTTCCATCTATGATCGTATACTTTTCATATCATAATGTTTAAAACCAGTGCAGTACAATTCTCTGGACTCTCTGGATCAATAATTATCAGAAAAGGTTGAACTTCTGCATTTTGATGGCTATAAAAGGGTCACTTCAATGTGTAGCCTTGACCGAGTGTGCCCGAAAGCCTATATCTCTTCAATGAATGCTCAGATCTTATTAAAAACAACTCAGAACATGAGACCTATCACTCTAAACAAGCATGACAATTTTCAGACAGATCGGACAAAATTTGCCTCTATTACAGTTAAAAGGGGGGAAATTATATGACCATAATGGCATATTAAGCCAATAAGTGGTATTCTACTGCCCCCTGCTGTTTAAAATAGTCATTTTGTCATAATGCTGACTATTATTGTTCTATAATTCATATTTAGAGTTTATATAATCAATATTTTAACATTTACAATCACATTTAGTCAAAATTCATTGTCACATTGACAAATGTGAACCCTGAATGAGACAGTTTAATCTACAATAGAATGTGTGTGTGTGTAGTTCCATGTTTCTGAATAAATCCATATGTGACATAACATCATGAACATGCATGCAAAGTTTTATGGAGATCGGACCATAGGTGGCGCTATAACTGCCTGTATTGGCTGTAAATGGTCTTTTCCATCTATTATGTCAGTGTTTAAATGTATGCTACATAAAACTTAATGTCTTTTGATGCTTTTGTGCTTAACGGCCTTAAAGGCCTTAACTGCTTGAACACCGCTAAATGCTGCTTGCAGCTTTAATTAGGTGTTCAAGCACGAAGTGCTGAAAACCTATTGTATTTGTGCTGATTTTTATTATTATTATTATTCCGCCCTAAAACGCATCGTGCAGACCAAACCGTAAGAGCTAGAGACTTGATATTTGGGATTAAGGTAGCACAGAAATCGAGGAGAGGTTGAGAGAGTATGAGCCCGATTGGCCCATAGGTGGCGCTATAGCAACAAAAACGCGAAAGTGATCATAACTCCTAGACCCTATGTCGTAGACTCAAGTGTCGTATATCATTGGAAAGCTGGACTCTTGACTTAAAAAACGTATATCTCCGATTTCATTTCCGGTATGCAAATTTTTCCGCTATTTCCGGTTTTGTCCAAAACCTACTTTTGCGAACTAGTCCCTGGTTTTTCGCCCGATTGGAACCAAACCAGTGCAGAAATGTTCTCTGGAGTCTGAATATCAATAATTATCAAAAAAAAGTTGAAATTTTGATTTCCGGTTGCTAGGGGGCGCAAAATTAACGTTGTGGGAGGAGCCTATTTTACTAAAACGTCTATAGCTCAAGAAGTAAATGAGATATCTTCACCAAACTTGACACACTTGTGTATGAGGACAGTTTGGGGTCACAGTAAAAAAACCACGTCG